TACACGAGAACATCCAGAAATGGGAGTTTGTTGTTAGCCTTCTTCTCGAGCGTTAATTGAATGCCCAGAAGGGTTGACTTGATGGTGTTGTGAAGCGCTTCGAGTTGGTCCCTTTTAACGACAACAAAAGTGTCGTCTACGTATCGCACCAATAACTTAGGGTTAATCGATGGTAGGGCCGTTTATTCTAGCTTCTGCATCGTTATTTCGACAAGGAATCCAGATATAGGCGACCCCATTGGAGCTCCCTTTAATTGTTTGTAGTATTGATGATCGAATGAAAAAATTTGTTTCTAGGCAAAGGTCCACAAGTTCAAGTAAGGCAGCTGCAGGAACCTTCGTTTCTTAGTTCTTCAGGACTTCCTCTGTGCACTGCCTTGCTACATTGTGTGCTATGGAGGTGAACAGGGAAACGACTCCGAAGGAGACCATTATCTCATCATCGGTGACCGTGATTCCCCTTGGTTTCTGTAAAAGCTCCAAAGACTTCGGAATGAAAGTTTCACAATCCTTCGTTAGTGGGTGGAAGCCAAAAAAACTGAAGTGAACAGCGCGACATTGCAACTACAGCGGGCAAGCACATTTACAAAACCCGGCGCTATTTCAACAAGACCCACGCCCCAAACTCTGTATTCAAGCTACATTAGTTCTTGTCAGGTGCGCCAATCGCCCTGGGTATAGTGCCGATGGTTTGACGCTAGCGCAGTGCTAACAAGAATCACAATAAAACCAGGAAACCAACGGAAATCTGGTAGAAGTGTCCCGGCACATGAAACGCCTAAAGTAATAATACAGACCAGCAACGGTTAATGCTACAGTAAGTGGCAAGCACATTGAAACGACCCTGTATTTCTTAGCCATGCTTTCCTCGGACGCCGCGGGGACAGGCCGTGTCTGGCATGTCCACCACGCGAGCGCAAGAGACGATATTAAAACCCCCCGTTCAAGGTCATCCTCGGCCTGGCTTACTGGTCAACCACTTCTCAAGGCCAGTACACAAAGGAACTTAATGCGGGGATGTTTACGCTCAGTCCCTCTCAGAACCGGCAACCTACTGTTCGGTTGTAGTTGTCCGGACCCGGTGAGCTACTTGCCGGACTGCGCCTCTGGACTCCGGCCCATTCATGGCTGGACTGCACTTGTCTAGGAGTCACTTACCTATTACTTACATTCTACTCCTGTTACACCTTACTAAATTATCCCTAACACTCTGGCCCTCCATGCTTTATATTATCAACTAGCACGGAGGCCCAGCTTCGCCCTGGGCTTCCTTGCATGTTGTTGTCCCTTTATGTAGGAAAACCGTATATGAGAACCTCCTTAAATGATTATAAAGAAGGTGGGTAGGTCGGAATTTCTGACGTCATTTTGGCTCGATGAAAAGTATGTATATGCTCAGAAGGAGTAATTGCGCAGAAAGTAGCGACTCAAAATCGTATGAA